TTGTCTTGATCCTGATTTTAACATGAAAGTTTTCAGTTTTTGACCATTTAGTATGATGTTGGCTGTTGGTTTTTCCTAGATAGCCTTAATCAGGTTGCGATAACGATCTTCTATTCCAATTTTCTGTAGGGTTTTTATCATGAGTGGGTGTAGGATTTGTCAAGTGCTTTTTCTGTATCTATTGAGATGTTCATAAGGTTTTTGTGCTTGGCTCTGTTAATATAGTGTATTATATTTATGGATTTACGTATGTTGAACCATCCTTGCATCCCTGGGATAAATCTGACTTGGTCAGGGTGTATGATCTTCTTGATGACCCTCTGTATTCTGTTTGCCAATGTCTTCTTGAGGATTTTTGCATCTATGTTCATTAGGTAGATTGGCCTGCCGTTCTCTTGTTGGGTTGCATCTTTCCCTGGTTTTGGAATCAAAGTAACACTTGCTTCTAGGAATGAATTTGGAAGCCTTGCTTCCCTTTCAGTTTCCTTGATGAGTTTAAACAGTAATGATGATAGTTCTTTAAATCTCCTGTGGAGTTCAGCAGTGAAGCCATCAGGACCTCGGTCCTCTATTTTTTTAATCTGTGTTCTCTCTAGATTTATTAATCATGTCTTGCACTATGTGCATGATCTCTTTTGTTATCTGAGAAATTATTTCTGATTTCATTTTTTCCAGATACTCTTTTGTTGCCAGTTCAGGGAGTCCAGGTAGTTGAGTGTCAGATTGATCCACCTCATTTCCCTTTGGGATTGCTTTGAGTAATCTGGAAGTCTGGTTCTGAGACTTATTTAAGGGTCTTCTCATTTCAACAGGGGTTGGGGGTTGTCCTGTAGCTCACCTCCTCAGTGCTGGAGGTGCCTCTGCTCCTCCTCTTTGAGAATTATTAATCATGATGCTGAGAACTTCCAAGATTCTGAATTAGTTTGTAATGATACCAAGAACTATTAAATTATGTTCAGTGGTGTTTTAAGTGAGTTTGTAGCTATTAATAAGAATTCTGTGTAAATCAGTATTATAGCTTAAGAATGATAGTGGAAATTGCAATATCAACAATAAAAATAAAATACTAGTAGAAATAATAAGACTGATGTATGTCAGAATTGCTTTTACCTTTACATAACAACCACATTAAAAAGTGTCATTATTATTCCCATTTTACAGATAAGGTAACAGCCCCTCCCCATTCTCTAAATAAAACAATCTAAGAATTCCAATGCCCAGACAACACTCCGTATTATTTTGCTTAAACCTCTTAAAAATACCATAGAACATCCAAGCATCAGTAATTTTTTAAATTTCCTAGGTGATTCTAAATCACATCAAGTGATCAAGAATCAGTGTTCTTCAAAACTAAATACTTAGACTGTCTTAGTTTCTCACTGAAACATAAATTATGCTTTGAATTTTGATTGAGAATCTATGTTAAAAAGAAAAAATAAACAAACAAAAACACCAAGACCAACATTGTACGAGATATGTCCCTGCATTTACTTGAAAATTTCTTCATAGCTCAATCTTACTTGTATCATAAAATCTAAAGTGATAATTTCTTTCTTTCTTTCTTTCCTTCTTTCTTTCTTTCTTTCCTCCTTTCTTTCTTTCTCCTTCCTTCCTTCCTTCCTTCCTTTTTTTAAACAGGTTTTACTTGGGGAATAGTTTCTCTTTGAAAATTATTACTCATCACTATATGAAACATAGAGAAGTATTAGCCTATCACATTTTCTTTTTCTGCCATAACTTCCAGGAAGATTATAACTAAGCCAAACTTTTGATTATAGAACTATTCTATTAAAATAAATGTATATTTTCCTATTATAACCATTGTCTTGAATTTGTTAATTTTTTAAAATTATACTTGACCTCTGTAAAATAGTTTTTTTAAGAAGATGGGACAAAATATATTTGCTTATTGAGTGTCCAGATTGACTTAAAATGTTATATAAGCACTGATCTAATTCACCTTCCAAATTATATCATTTGTCCTCAAGTAATAAGACATGTGAAATCAGTATACTTGGACATTACTGACTGGTGGCTATTAATGGCAGATTGTCTTAAGACAGAATAGCATATTGTAGGGTCAAACTAAAATACAGACATATCTACATAAATTAAAAAGTAGAGTATTTAAAATGTTTATATTTACCTTTAGTGATTCCCTGCTTTTTCTTCTTGAGTTCTTCTCTATGTTTTTCCTCTTTGTCATTTTTAATGATGTCAGGATTATCCTCTAGTCCTTCCTTTGGAAGTGTTTTGGGCAAAAAGAAAAAAGGAATGGCAGTGAGGACATTCACTCCTGCACAAATCAAAAAGCCAAACCACCATGCACCAACCCAACGAGTATCAGTGGGAGTTATGGTCAGATCATCTGTAAAGAAATATATACATATTTGTTAGCTTGTATCATTTCCTGTACAAGTTATAGACAGCTATTGAAATTCTCATTTTATATAAATATAAAATGTATATATAATGCAGACATTCATAAAACTTATCAATGGGTGCCAAGTTAATGTTAGGTAGGAGAAAAAAGTTCTAGAGTGCTTTGGGGAAGTAGAGTGATTATCAATAGTGATTATTCACTGTATATTTCAGAAAGCTAAAAGAAAATATTCTGAAAATTTTTACCATAAAGAAATGGTGTATCTTTGAGGAAATAGATATTTTTAAATTGATGAAAACATTATATAATGTTTTGATATATTATATATGTATGGAACTATCATATGGTACCCCATTAATACGTACAATTGTTTTATGAATCAGTTAAATACATTTTAAAATGTATCTGACAATATGATGTGTTGTGATATCATCCAGCAATAAATAATTCTGATTATCCTAAGTTAGAGGGAGTTTATAAATTCTTCTTACTAAATAACTGAAAGATTTATTTCATTATCCACAAGTAATTGCTTGATTAAAATAAATTAAAACCTATGTACTTAAACCTTTTGAAGCCAAAATAAGGTTGAGATGTAGTACAAAGAGCAATGGATTTTGAGTCAGGAGATTAGCATTTTATCTTGTTCAACTGTTTACTCCATTTGGTTAGTGATAATCTAACCATATTATGGTCACATAAGGCAGTGATTATATGTTTTAAATATCTGGGTTTTTTGGGTACTTTAGATGTCATATAAATAGGTTTTACTGAATTACCTGTGTTTACAGATCCCATGTCTACATAAAGGTTTGCACAGAATGATGCTAACAAAAGCCCAATCAAAGGACCAATGATAGTTCCTGTTTCTATAAACCCTAAAAGAAAACAAAAACATAAAGTTAAAGTTAGATACTCATATAAAAAGTTCTGGTTTCACAAAAAGCATTAATATTGATTTGTTTTTACCTTACATTTTAGCTTTATTTTGGTGGTGATGCTGGTGATTGTACATAGTGCCTTGGTATGCAAGCACTCTGCTATATAACTATACCCATAGGTCAAATATTTTCAACATAGATTCTCAACTTATAACAAAATTAATTTGGCGTACATATAAGTGACATCTGTGTATGTTTATGTTGAGAAAGAAGCTGTTGTAGTTTGATCTGGAGCGCCCCACCCCACCCCCACCAAAAATCTGTGTGCTAGAGGGTTGGTCTTGTAGGGAGGTGGAGAAACCTCGAAGAGATAGTGTCTAGTAGAAGGCCTTCAGACCACTGTGGGGAGGTAGCCCTCAAAGGGGACTGTGGGACCCAGCCCTTTCACTTTTCTTTCATTTCCCAGTTATGGGGTAACTGATTTAACTGTACCACATTCTTCTGCCATGATGTGTGGACTCATAACAGGCCCAAAAGGAGTGGGGCCAACCAATCATGGACCTCCAAAACTGTGAACCAAAATAAACCTTGTTCTTCTTATAAAGAGATTATTCCTGGTATTGTATAAGTAACAGAAGGATGGCCGACACAGGAGCCTTACATGGAAAAGCTTGGTGAGGAGGATGATGATGATGAAGAAAAACTATAGAAAACTAAATAGATTAATAGGGTACACAGCCATGATAAATAAGAGATCAGATTTAATAAATAAGAAGCCAGTGGGTGTTGTGAACATTGTAGTGCACATATGATTAAAACAATATTTGAAAAAGATTATACTGTGAGAATGTTTATAAGAAAGTATAAAATACTAGCTATAAAATGAGTAATAAAGAAGAGTAACTTTTGGATAAGTAATGAAAAGTTGAATAAAAATGCAGGTAGTGAAAATAATGAGAAAAGATTTGAATCTAAGGAACATTTTAGAAAAAATTCTAGTAAATCTCAACAGATGGATATAGTGTGACATCAAGAATACACAGGACTCAGAAGACTCAAAGGGCATTAGATTAGTGGTATTTCCCATAACAAAAGATCGATAGAAAAGTGGCTTGTTTGGAGTGAGCTATAATTGTTCCATTCAAACAGCTTGGTCCAGTGCACCAAGGCCCTTGGCTCATCATTCTGGAAATAATGAGTCCAAATAAACAATTTCTACTCTCAAGGAACTTGCTGTCCTGAAAAGGAGCTAAGGAAGATTCTCAGGCTTACCAATATATAATGGAGAGTTTTCAGATTTGGAAAAATCTTCTATATAGGAAATACCCAAAGGCATGATGGGTGTCTCACCCATTCCACGTATAATATTTCCCATTAGTACATACACCCACATGAAGGATTTAACTTCTTTCACACACTCTGTATTAAAACAAACAAAAACAATAGTATTAGTGCTTTGAAAGTAAGTGTTAGTGATACTTAATTGAAAATTTTCTGTATTTCACAGTTCCTTTATGACCATGGCCCCTTCTCAGTAATTTATATTACTATGTCAGCAATGAATAACTTGTTTTTCCTGTTGCTTTTTTTTTTTTGAGGAGAGAAAATCATTTAGAAGTATAAATGTTATGCTTCAGCCAGTACCTACTCAAATTAGAGAGATAACTATACATGCTTTTTTTTTTTTTTAGTATTTAGTGCCAACACATTGGTAGTTTAATAGTATTTACACCATAGAAATTGACAAACTCCAAAAATCAAGATTTCCTCCCACCCTTAGAGATTCAGTTTACCATCAAGCCCTGGAACCAGTTCGCTGTTAAAGTGCTACCCTGTTCCTATACAACTTTGAGGGGAGAAAAAACACATTCACAATGCAATAAAAAACCTCTATAATTTATTCTATATAAGATTTAAACATGAGTTTCACTAAAGTTTGATTCCTTACAAATTTGATTACTTCATAAAAACTAAAACTATCTATCTGGGTAGCAATCATTTTTTTTTCTAAAGAGCCTGTTGTATACTGTAGCCATCAAATAACTTTTTTTATTCATTAATTTTATTGGTACATTTTAGGTATACAATATGATGACATTCATCATTGGGAATTTGTACCTTTATGTGATATATCTTGGTTATTTTTTCCCCATCCCCCTCTCTCCCTTCAATCCCTCCACCCCTCCCTATTTACAAAGTCTTTATTTCCATCTTTTTCTTTTCTTATATCAAATAACTTTTAATTAATTCACTCCAATCACTGGAAGAGCAGCTACTTAATAGTATAACAATACTAGACCACAGGGAATTGAAAGGGAAAAGGAGAGAACTCTGAGATGTATATCTGTGTCTTTGCCTGTGGGGGATTTGGCCAAGAGTCAATGATTAAACTGTGGAGCAAAAGCACACAAGCCCAGTGAGAAGTGAATGGCTAAATTGCAGGGTAAAAGCACATAGTTTCTATGAGAAATGAATGGTTAAACAAGAAGTTTAGATTAGTGAAGCATGTTGTGGCTGGCCATTATCATTCCTCTTTCCCCAAAGAAACTGCTCATCCTTGAGACAGCTCCTTTCTCAAACTGTTTTTTGTCTGCATTTTCCATTTCCACTGATATTCTAAATAAAATCTGGAGAGTTCTCAGCTTCAGGGCTTCTCCTGAGAGTCTCCCTAATGCTGGGTGCTCTCATTTGAGATAGCCCCTTTGTGCCTCTCAATGATTGAACTAAGTCTCATCTCCAAGTAATCATTCATCCTCTATGCCATCATGATTGTGCACTTTGACAAGCGGTGTCCCATGTGAAGAAAAATCGCCTGCTGCAGATCAGCAGATGGATCTTCCAAGTCTGGAAAAGGAACAAGAAAGCATCTGACTCTTCATCCTGGTAAGGGGACACAGACAGCTAGCTATAGGATAGCCTGGCATGTTTACAGTGAGATTGAAGTTTAGATTTATCACCCCAGAGGTCTTTTAAGTGTTCAGTGACTAAGTGAGTAGGGGCAGTTCATTTGATTTTCTTTTTGCTGTTTTACTTTCATTCCTTCTGCTTTGCCTATAAAATAGGTCAAACTCTAAGAAGAAAAAAACAATGTAAGCAACATTTACAATGTCTCTTGAAAACATCTGACTCCAAGATGAATGAATGAATGAATAAGTAAATAAAGAAAAAGAGAAAATGAGAAAAGAGAAGAAAAATGGGCAAAGGCAACAAAAGTCAAGCCAAAAAAGTGTGCTAAACTGGTACAAATCTATCAAGAAAATAGAAACTCCTATCAATATTGTTATAAAGGCTCAGAGCCATGCCAAAAACATTTGAGAGTGTACTCCAATTAAATATAACTGTTTTATGTGCTGTGTACCTTATCTTGTCTGGTCATCTGCCTGTTAATTGTTTTATTAACTGAGTAAGGTACTTGCTTCATTCAATAGTTTTGAATATGAATCTTATTTTTCCTTTTATTTTTCCCCTTGCAATCTTCTAGTTCTTAAGAGAATGAGCCAGAACGAAGTTCATTTGAGAATAAAAACTAATAAACTTACAGGACACTTACAAATAAAACCCTTAACGTTTGGTAATATGAGTCATATCTGGGCTAATATATATGTTTCTCTCCACATGTGTTAACTTTCAGATATATATTATCCTCCAAAAAGTCCTACTTAAATCAATTTATAGACAAATAGACACTCATGATATTAACCCAAATGCTTTTTGGTTTATATAGCTTAATAGTAGGCTAATTTAAATCAGTTGATAAAAGAAGAGATGTCTTTAAAGTTGGTGACATGTTTCTTTCTGGTTGTTAGGCAAACAAAATGATAGCAAAACTGGCTTTATAAATACAATCATGATTGTTATCTATATGCAATAATTTAAACATTTTTTCACTGGTATTCAAAAATTAGACATAAAAATGGAATGAAAAATCCTGTAACATGGGGACAAATTCTTATGATTTAAAACAAAAGCACACTGCTTCTCAACTCTGGTGTGGCGATCATGGCTGGTTTTACAAGAATATAAATCAAAGCCTTACTTTTGCTGCCTCTGCGGTCCAATTTGGATCTAGACAAATTCATTTCTTTTACAATTAGGGCTCATCCAGCAAGTTCTGTGCTTGAATTTAACAGTTCCTAGGAGAGAGGGAGATGTGTCCCACCCCATTTTTGAATGGTCTGCTCTACCTAGATACTCCATCCATACAGAAGCTATAAAAAACCCCAAATTGTTGTTTGAATAACAGCAAAACCAAAGCAAGAAAAAAATAAAACAGATTTGCAATGACCAAATAACCTCATGCATGAGCCGAAATAAAAAAATAGACTATAGATATTGCCTCTTGGTGGTCAAGTCATCCTTCAACTAGCATATAAAAATATGAATTCTGGTTGTCAAAAAGTCCCGACACTCCTTAAAGGAAAAAATGTAAATATTATTAAAATGATGAAAGTTTGCCAAAATGTAAGGACAGAATCCCATAATGCCCAAGTTCTTGCTGCAGCTTTGAGGTCCTGGGAATGTTATCATTGTGACAAAGAGGGACATCTTCAAAAGGATTGTAAAAATAATAAGCAGGGTAAAAATGATCAAACCAAAAAAATGTCCTAACTGCATAAAAGAATATCACTGAGCCAATCAGTGGTGCTCTAAATTTGATAATGAGGGGAACCCTATTTCATCCTGATGAAAACAGAGAGTCAATCATAAAATGTTCATGCTCTGAGATCCAACCCAGAGTCACAACAAGAGCCCATTGTTACCAATCTTAGCTGATTAATAATTTTATTTTTGGCTTCCAATTTAAGTTGCTATTTTTGTTTAATTAATATGCTTAAAACATTTCTTGTGATTGTAAATACTTAAACTATAATTACAGGGTTAACTTGTTCTTCTCTCTGCTTCCTCCTGGTACTAAGATAAGAGTACTGATTCAAGGTTATTTGAAAGTCTTCGGAGACAGTCAAATATTAAAAAGTAACATTCTGAGACCAATAAAAAAAAAAGGAGAGAGAAAAATGGACAACTTAAAATCCAAGTTGCCAGTACCAAATTTTTAATAAAAATTTTATAGTAAGTAGGATAGTGTATATATATATATATATATGTATATATATATATATGTATAAGAGATACATTTTTGATGTGAGAGGATTTTGTATGATAAAACTTTTTGCATACTCAAAAGATAAAGAGAGATAGCACAGAACTGGAAAGCTCAAGTATATTGAAATTTGTGGTAAATAAAATTTATTAAAAAAATATGTATTTTTGGTCATTTTAAGCTTTGCTCTTGTTAGTTCAATTGAGCCCAGGCTATTTTTTCTAACAGCTCCTTGCTGCTCAAAGAAGATTAAGGGGGTATGGCTTTGACTCTATCAATCACTCCTTTCCAGGTCTCAGCTCTCCTATCTGGTTGACATAGGCTGTAACTCTCATTTCTAAAATTAATGCTAAATATGAGTTTTCTGCATGGCTAGCAGAGACAACCAGACTGATCAATGACAAAAACCAAGACATATAGTGCACCTCAAAACTCAATATGTTAAAAAAAGAGGGGGAATATGGACCAAAACTTTAATTTAATAAGACTTTAAATTTTCTAAATTGTGATTTAAAAGGTTTCACAGCAGTACAGAAAAGCAACTCACCATGCAGCTGAAAAGATGCTGCAAAGTACAAGAATTCCCTTCACTCTTGAAAACTTGTTTCTTAAAAAGTTTGTGTAATTCACTTGCAACTCCAAAATTACAAGGATAAAAGTGCCCCTTATCTTTATGGCTTTGCTGACATACATACTTCAAGTAAGTGACATGGCTTACTGAGTTTATGTTCTTACCTCACCTGTCTTAGATATGGTTACAGGAAAAAATACAAACTCTCCTCTTTCTTCTAATGACCCCTCATACAGACAAAACTTAACTGCCACCTCTTGACCCATTTTGGGATGACAGGAGGGACTGCAGCCACTCTGGCTATTCCAGTCATCCTCACCTGTTACCCCAAAATGGTAATTCCTGACAAAAGAATTTCTATTTTACATATTCCCAAAATCACTGATAGTAGTTATTTTATTTCTTTCCAGGCTGAATGATATATAAATAATGGTTAACATCTCTCAATTAAAAATTATTCACACTGTGGTACTCAGACAAGGAACCAAAGCTTGGCTCCCCACCAATCTCATAAGAGAATGGATAAAAAATTGAGCTTTTGAATGAATTACCTCAACACTTAAACTTATTAGACAAAAATATTTTCTGGACATTTATTATGGGACAGCTACAATGACAACTACTGCAGTTACCTTAAATCATTCCATTCAAACTTATCAAACTAATAATTATTTCTAAAATATTACTTCTGAACTGCTAACTCAGATCAACATTGATAAAAAATTCTTAGAGTAACTTGATACCCTTAAGGCAACAGTCAGTTGGCTCAACACGCATCAAGTTCTTTGGATACACAGTTAACTTAGTTGTGAAGCTGGTAGCCAGTCTATGTGCATCACATCTATCCCATTTAGCCATTCAGAGTCCTAAGAGGAAGTCCAACACCTTTTCCATGGTGCCTTTCATACAAATCTGGATGGAGACATTACTAATCTTCAGAGCTAACTACAACCCCAACTTCATAAATTACAAATGGAAGCTCACAGTATCACCTTAAGTCAACTTAAGGTGCCTATTGGCTGAACCCACAAAATTGGTTTTCTGGCCTCAATCTTCACATTTGGATTACTATTAGAATTATCTCTTTTTGTTGTTTCTTCTTACAGTCCTTCAGGGCCTTTGTATACTGTTCTGGTGGACCCTTCATGCTGAGGCCATGATGAGTTTCCTACATCAAGCCTGATACCTGTCTACACTATATTTCTTTTTTCCTCCCCAAATCTGATCCTATAAAACAAAAAAAGGAGAAATGTGTGGGACCTAGCCAAAGAATGAATGGTTAAACTGCTGAACAAAAGCACACAGGCTCTGTGAGGAGTGAATGGTTAAAATGTGGGGCAAAAGGACACAGTTTCTATGAAAAATGAGTGGTTAAACAAAAGTTTAGATTTGTGAACCACGTTGTGTCTTCCCTTTTCTCCAAGAAAAGTGTCTAACCTTGAGCCAGCTCCTTTCTCAAATTATATTTCTTCTGCTTTTTTCACTTCCACTGATATTCTAAATAAAAGCTGGGGAATTCTCAGCTTCAGGGCTTCTCCTGTAACCCTCCTTAATACTAGATGATCTCAGTTGAGATAGCCTCTTTGGACCTCTTGTTGATTGAACTAAGTCTCATCTCCAAGTAATCTTATCCTCCAAGCCACTGTGGTCACACACTGACATTTGCTGTTGTTCTTCTAAGCCCCTCAAAAAGCTGTCAAGCCCTGAGGAAACTCTGTGGGATCATGTTTTCAGGGAATTGAAGCCAATGTACTCTCACTTCCTAGAAGCTGGCTAAATGCTGTCCACACAGGTAAGGGTCCAGAGCACAGCTGGGATGGAGAATTTCTGGTGATATCTATCCATTCATTTCCAATTTTAAAAAATCATAATCTCTATTTCTAGGTATTCAATTTTTTCCCTCTGGTGAGCATAATGTTTTGTGTCTAAAGATCATAGGCAAATTTTATGCCAATTCTAGGGAAAAAATATATATCAGGTGATAAAAAGCTTGATACATTTTCCTGAAGATAAACCAGAATGTGGGAAGATTTTGATATACTTGGCATCTGCCTGAGTCTTTTGTAAAAGCCATCCTAATAGCTTTTACTATATTCCTAATGAATATAGAGATGCCTAACAGTAGATTGATTAATGGATAAAGTAAATGTGGAATAAAGTAAATTAATGGATAAAGTAAATATTGAGGGGTATAGTGTGGAGGGTATATGAGATATATATATATACATAAATGTGGGATATATATATATATAATATATATATAATGGAATATTATTCTGCCATAACAAAGACAAGGATGTGATTTGCAGGAAATCAGATGGAAGTGGAGACCATCATATTAAGTGAAATAAGCCAGTCTCAGAAAGTTAAAAGTCACACGCTTTCTCTTATGTAAGAAATCTAAAAATAAATAGATAAAAACAAATACAAAGAGAAAGGAGAGAGGACAGGAAACTAAAAGTTAGTTTTCTAGTAACAAGGAAGGAGGTTGTAGAGAAGAGAAAGAAGGGAGCAGGGATGAAATAACAAAAAGATGTTATATGCATGGACCAATATAGCATCATGAATCTCATTATTCTGTACTGGTAATATGCACCAATAAAAATAAATGAAATAAAAGAAATGAACACAGGCCACAGCTGATGTCCCTTTTTCCCTCTGTTTCCTTGGGGAGATGTCTTTGGCTTAGAGTGTCTGAGACAGCTATTCTTTTAACTCTGAAATTATTTTGGTTCCCACTGATTGTATATTAGGAGTGAAAGTCCCAGTCTTGGGGATTACTGCAGCGGAAAAATTAATTAAATTAATCCAGCAGAAAAATGTCCCCTACAATGGAGGAGATTTCTAACCTGAAGCAAATCTGCAGAGTCACCTCCAGACTAAGTATCACCAGAAGATTATTTAGTTCCCTGAGCTAAAAGGAGACAGCAGCCAACAACTGGATGCCCAGATAGCAGGAAACTAGAAGATCATTGCTATTGTGTAAAGCAGCATTTCTGCTAGAGAGGGGAGAAGGGGCAGAAAGATAAGTTGCTAGTAGTGAAAAGAGAATAGAGGAATTCTGAACCTTAGCATACTTGTCTGCTTTCCTTGCTGCAGAACATCAGTGGTATATCACAAATCTTTTGAATTTTTCTCCATAAATGAAATCATGACCATAAATCTATTCTTCTAAGACATTTTCCTATCTGAGATTAACTTTACAGTGATCCTAGGATGGATATCTTTTTAAAAAGCATGTTTAAGGAATAGAGAAGAAAGTCATGATAGATTCAACTATAAGAAAAATAACACTCTATATTATTAGATATGCCTATTCGCCTCTGTGATCCCTTCCAAAATTCCTGAAGAGGGAAAATATCTTGGGTTTATTTATCTCACTCACTTAATATCTCATTCAAAGCTCTGGAACAGAAAATACTTAGCTAAAAATTCACTGAACAGAAAGTAATAAAAAGAAGTATTCAACCTGCTGGATCTTGTGTTGGTCTTGAAGTCTCAGTTCCATATTCCGTACATAAGAAACTGTTTGAGGACAAGTTGCTTGAAACTGAAACTGTAGATTCATATTCATATCTGTATGAACATAGGGAAACATTTATTTTGGGGAATGAAAAAGGACAATGTGAACATTTTGCAGGATATTGACTCCTGCTTCACAAAAATCACAACATCCAAATCTGGAAAAGATTTTCCATCTTTGCCACTCCAATTGCCATAAGTTGATATCATCAAAAGAACTTCCTGCTCACTGAAAATGTGTTAGCCCTTTATAGTTAGCTTTTAATTGTTTGTATGTAAATGATATGCCTTTAAGTTTATCTAAGAGCATCCTTCCGTGATTTTTCCTGGAAATAATTAACTGTGGAATGAAGAACAAAAAGTAAGAAAAATAAGAGACTCAATAAAATATAATTAAGAAGATAAAAGCTTTTGGGAAAAAACATCACAGTAAAACAAGTGCTTAAGTTTGGATTTTCTGAGGTTTCCTTGTAAGAATAACCTCTACTTTCTGAGAATCCAAATAATAATTCTTCCATGTGTTCTTTAAATGGTGGGGGGGATTCCCATTGTAATAAGGGGCCTTGAAGAATTTCAGTCACTGGACAAAATGATGCAATGACTTTTTGTTTTCTTATAAGAACAAAAGAGTTAATAACTATAGTCATTTAACTTAGACAAATTACCACAGGATCCACATGTCCTGTCTCAGAAAATAAATTACATGCTACAAGAGTAGAGAAAAATATTTCTAGCTAAGTCTTTGCTAGAAACTTCTTTCTTTCTATGTGTTTATTAGATAAGAGAAAGCCAAAATAAATTTGCCCTTCTGATTCCACATAAATCATGAGTGTTATGCTTGGATACCCCTAATCTTGTTAATTTCAATACTATAGGACAAAATTAAAAGGGTCCAAATACTTTCCCCTTACAATTGCCCTGTCATAGGCAAAGAGCCTGCCTATGAACTCTGAACAAAGCCTTCTGTCTCCCCACTTATAATCCTATGGGACACAACAGCTTCAAAGAAAACAAGACCTTGGCACAGAGTGGAAAGAATGTAAATAATAGTTGAAATTACCTAGCATTGTCTTGGATAGAATAGAAAATAAAGAACATTAAAACTCTTCTCTTAGAAACTTCTTATTCTTTCGAAAATAACTGAGAGGACAAAGTAGTTCTTGTTTGTTAACTTATTTACTGAAAATTCAGTTACTCACTCAAACATCATGTGTTTTGAACAGATCAATGAAATGACAGTAAAAGGATTTTAAAATGGAAAAGAAAAAGGCATAATCTGCAAGGATGAAGAGATTGGGGAGATTTGATAATAAGAAAGAGTTCAATAAAATTGGAAAATGGAAAAGTAGATATGTAAATGGGTACTGAATCAGAAGAAATTAGAAAGATAACCATAAATGTCTTCAAGAAAGCAAGCAAATTCATGTCATACTTTCCTGGAGAGCCTCAGGTAAGATACTAACAGGGAGTGGGGAAGAGCTAAATGCTAGGAAAGTGTGAACTCTGGATTTAAAGTGTATTTAAGGGACAGTTAGTTCCCCAGAGACACACTGCCATTCTCGCTTAAAAAGTCCATTGAATCTAGCAAGTCTGGATAGGTACATTGAAGACAGGGAGGCCAAACTACAAACTAGCGCCGGGGATTTAGCTCAGTGGTTTCACCGCCTGCTGCGCAAGTGCAAGGACCCGAGTTCAGTCCCCAGTACCAAAAAAAAAAAAAAAAAAACAGGCATAAAAAAGGCATAATTATTATTGGGCTAGGGATTTAGCTCAGTGGTTCCGGCGCCTGCCTCACAAGCACAAGGTCCTGAGTTCGATCCCCAGTACCAAAAAAAAAAAAAAAAAGAAAAAACACAAACTACAAACTAGGGATACTAAGTGGAAAAAAAATCTACATACTAAGCAGTGAAATTCTCAATTCCATCTGGCCAGTAGCCAAGCTTCTGTTTTCTATGCAACAAATAGGAGAATCAGTCATCACTGCCTAGGATAACTAGCAGGTTTTGCAAAGTTCTGAGCCATCTGAAAAACATCTAGTCCCTGTTCAATCACCTCATGAAGTGCTCCATTAGCAAACCCTACACATAGATACAGGATTTAGCTTATCATTGTTGTTGTTCTCAAATACAAATGGATAACCAAGGACCAGATATATGGAGGACAGATATGACAGTTAAAGACAGAAACAAACAAAATAGCTATACTTTGAGGAGTGAGGACAGAGGAAGAAAACTTACAAGGGAAAAGACATTGCATTTTTGAAAGAATAGCAAGATGTTCTTTCAATAGAGATATTCAAAGAACAAAAGTGTCTTTGAAAATTGAAAATATGATAGTATAAGTTTGCAACCCAAGATTTGGATGTTAAATCTTCCAAAAGGTAATAAGAAAATAAGACATAAAATTAGGGAAAGAAGATGAGAAAAAGTAAACTACACGGAGAGAACAGAGCAGTGTCTAGTGGTGTATTTGAGCTGGCTACAACTGAATACATCAAGCTTTCTCTGGGGATTACCCTGTCCAAATTTATGACCCCAGGCTTTCTGATTAACTAATCCAGTTCATGGCTCCTAGACACTGTGAGTACCTACCTTGTAGTAGCTTTCCTGCCTAGCTCACTTTCATTAGAATCTATCCTTTTCTGCTAGTAAGTCTCAATTAACCCTATCATTTCCTGTTGATCCTCAATTAATCCTTGTCTCTCACTAGCCATGAGTATATCTTTGGTCTCTCTCAGCAACTTACTCCACTGCACCAGGGCGGCTATGGATAAGATAGGAGCTTAAAAGACAAACCCAATATCTCCCAGGCAAAAGAACTTGATCACAGGAATGAGAATGGCATAGGATATGAATAACAAAAAGAATGGAAACAAACTAAAACCTTTGAAGTAATGTCTTGAAAAATCCCTTGGGATGCTATTTCCTACTTAGAATTTTATCTTAGCCAAACTATCCATTATGCATGGAAGTAAAATATTTTCAGATGTATGAGGTCCTAAATTTTATACTATCCTTCATACATTCTCAGAAAGCTAGTACTTTCAGTACAGAAAGGAGTGAGAGTGAAAAGGAAAGCAGAAGACACTACACCCCTGAGATGAGTATCCAAATGAAAGAAAGAGGCAGAGCAGATTCCAAAGGGTAATAATGAGGGAAAATTCTAAGGGACCAACAGTGAAGCAGGCCAAGAGAGTTCTCAGGAGTTATACAGGAGGGGATGTGTCTCCAAGAGAGAAATGAATCTCTCTGATCTGTACTGAGAAGACATTGACCCTACTAAAAGGTGAGGAATTAGTGAGAGATAGAAAGCTCATAATAAAATGAAATTAAAAAATGAAGTAATTCTTAAATTCAGGAAAAAAAAATTATGTAACAAAGGAATGATAACAACATGATTCAGTGGTGAAAAATATTGTCAGTCATAAAAATTAAATAATGAATATGATTTTATAATAGGAATTTAATATTTATTATGTAACTGAAGTATTAAAAGCTAATAAGTTAAAGAGGCAAATAGAAAAAAGAACTAAAAGATTTGCAAGTGGCTGCCTCTGAAAGATAGGAATACGGGAAAGGAATCAAAGCTTTAATACAATTTTATTTTTATAATTTTGAATGTATATGGTTTTGGTAAAAATTAAAAATTAATATACAAAATGGTCTGTGTCTTGGTGACAATCAGACCAAACCTCACTATAATTAGAAGTGTCTAAATAGCCCTGAGCAAGGGGTAATCCCACATGTTGGTAGGTCCTAAGAATCTTTTCATCAGATTCACCTTCCTGAATGAGGTGTCCCAAAGTCCACTCTCACAAACTGGCAAAATGTGACTGTGTCAGTTGTGATTAAACAGTAAAAAACACAAAACCGGCTGGTGAAAGAACAGAATCCACATCTTCCTGTTCCCACTTCAGTGCTCTGTAGTTCTGGGAAGCATTGTACCTAGACAGGAAATTCCAAACCTCATTTCCTGTAGGTGAAACTTGAACTTAAAATATCATCAAAGACTGCAATACTTACTGGTCCATGAGAAAATGAGGTAGCGATATTAAGAAACAACCTAATCCCATAACTGTACATCCGACACCAATCATTATAGGCCTATGCAGTTTAGTTCCAAAATAGCTCACAAATATAATCAACAAAAGATTTCCTAGAAAAAAATTGAGAATACATGTTTTAGTAAGTATTAATAAAATCTTAATACTCTCACCTAATCATTTATACTCTAGCTTTTATTGCATAACAACCATCTCAAATAATAGGATTGGTCCATGAGTGTATTAAAAAGCTAAATGAACAATACTCTATTTCCCGATGTAGACAGATATATAAAAAGATCTCTGTGGACCCCTGTCATTTAATGAAGGCACAGAAAGGGAATTCCATGAAAGAGACTGAAGAATAGTTCTGGCATATGGGACACAAAAGTAAACGTCAGCATATATGTGACCTCTGGCCTCTCCTTTGATACATGCTCCACACAACACTTTAATATTTTACTATGCTCAAAAAGAAAAATGAAAGTCAGATGCAGATATAGGCACATTTTGTAATTCACTATTCAAAGATACCATTATTGTTCCACATGATCAAGTCAGAGATTTATTTTTATTTTTACTTTTTCGCTTAAATCAAATAATGCGGTTAAGTAACCCAATTCTCCAACTGTGTCTTAAGTTAGATGGGAGTTGAAAAGCTCAAAAGTCAATAAAACTTTGTCTCTATATCTTAGGATAAAGTTTTCTTAAGATAAACTGGTTGGGAAGCACTATTGTGATGGATAGCTTCTTGATAAGTACAGAATTAAGAACTGAAAGAACCAAATATGTAAGTAAGTTCTCTGCAAACCATTTTTAATTCAATGAACAGTGTTCACCTTCCCCCTACAATCTATAAAGAAAATCTCTGTTGAGTTCAAAGGTCATGAAAATTTCAAAAACTATTTTTCTTAAGGTGTTCATAATTTTTCTTTTCTTTTTTTTCCATTAAGTTTATTGGTACATTTTAGGTATACAGTACAGTTACATTCACCATGAGGATCTTGTACCTTTACATGATGCATCTTGGTTCTTATTTTTTCCGCATTCCCCTGCCCTCCCTTCACCCCCTCCACCCTTCCCTATTTACAAAGACTTTGTTTCCATATTTTCCTTTTCTCATATTTTTTTCTTTTCTCTTCTTTCCTTTCTCTTACCCCTTCCACTTCCCCTACTCCTTTAGATATTTTCTTCCTATTTCACAATATCAATTATACATTTTGATCCTTATTTACACTTTTAGTTTTTCAAAGTGTTCATAATTTTCTAAGTGGCATTGAATATTTTGAAGACTTCTTTCAATATCTTTTTCTCTCTGGTCTGTCTTACATACAAAGATTTGCCAGTTTGTAGGTTATTTTGTATGGAGAGTGCCCCCTTCCACCATAGCTACATTAGCCACACCAGCCTATTTCTAAAATCCCCATCATCAAAGTCAACTGTGTTGAAGTTGATGCTTCTGGAAGCCCACTGTTTGAAATCTACATGAATTTGAAAAGGGAACACAGAAAGAGTTTTCCCACCTCACTTAGGGGTGAGTTTATCTTTCATATTACCTTGCTGTGTCAGTAAAATAATCACCATGGGGACATGGGAGAAGACAGGTAAGTTGATGTAAAGGCTGTGGGGAATGCTGCTTGTAGCGTAAAAAGTAAATTTTGCTAGCACCTGTAAATTATTTCACTTTTGTCTCAGCAACTATTGCACATCTTCAACACTGCCATCAAGCCACCTGTCCCCACCAACTAGCTGTAGAAATAGTTAATATTTTGTACTTTGCCAAGAAATTTGGGGCAATAAACTATGAAGATATGTGGGTTTCCTGTCCTGTGACCTTACTGTCCACCTTCAGTTTCAGGGGTGTGGGGCCCACCGGACCATCCAAGGCCATTCACAACACCTGGGCACTGCCATTTTCTCTGTCAACTTTCACCAATAACTAAAATCTCTCTTCTGTATTTTAATTCTCTCCCACTCTGCTGAACTTTATTCTATGGGCATTCTCTATTTCTCTCCAAACTTCCCAGAACATTCATTTATATTCACAGATTTCATTTCCTACCTCCCATTTTCTTCCAAAGTCACTGCTACCTCCATTACTTTATAGCTTCTAAGACTGCTATTCAACTAATGTGCCCTGGCAAAGATAATCAATTATTTCCATACTCTAAAACCCAGAACATAGCTTTCCATTCTTAATCTAACTGCATATTTCTAATGTGTTTGACACTGTGAAGCATTTATTTTTTTAGAAGCTTCTGCTCCCTTGGTATCTATTACATATTCTATCTTGATTCTTCTCTTATTTCCTTGACTGTTCTTTGCACATGACACCACAGTTGCAGATATCCCAAAATGTTGACACTAATAATTACTGGAAGTTATAACTTATTCAATGTGTTGATAAAAAGCACAAATGTCATTGTTACGTGTTTAAATATTTTGATAATTCTATTTCAATATAATTAATTTTATGCAATTAAAATACTATGATTAAATATTCTGAGATCATATGATATCAGATTGCCTAAGGGGTGCTTAGCACAGAAAGATTAATAACCCCTTCTAAACCATAGTTACTCTTTCTCACCTAGAGGACAAGAGATAAATTCGATAACAAGCCCACAAGCCTCTCTCCATTTTTCATCCCTGCCCATTTCTCCAGGTGCTGGGTAACAGCTGCCACCTTAAACTTTAATAACCAATAATATTGGGCTGAATGTTGCTCCTCACACAAGCTAGTAGGCTGCTTTACACTTGTGCTTCTTCTATTGAAATATCCTTCCATTTACTACATCACTTCTTCACTTGGAAAACTTTTACTCACCCTTCAATAGTCTGTCTTCCCTAAGTGAGGTTGTGTTCTCTTCTCTGGTCGTATTTGGCCTCACATATATAGAAGAACCATTTATGCCACACCAAAATTATTCATTTGCACCAATGCCCTCAGTTAGACTATGAGCTGAGTCCATACAAGGACTATCTGAGAAGTTAGTTCTAACTGAGTTGCCAGGACCTAGGACATGGAAGGGACTGAGTAAGATCTGAGGGACCTGACCACGCAGGAGACAAAACCAAGCATCACTTATTTCAGGGTTGTTTCTCCTTCATCATGATTTTTTTTTCGATTTTTGTTAAATGGATTAAAGGCAATTTTCCCCTTAAAGGAAGTCAAAATTATTGTAAAACTAGAAAAGATTAGCACCCATATTTCTATTTAGCATTATTTACAAAGAAATCTTTCCTTCCCTCTGTTCTCATAAATTCCCAGTCATCTCCACAAATCAGAACCTAAAAATAAACTTTATTTTTCCCTAAGTGCTGTTTCTGAAATAAATTCAGTCAGGAAAGCAGGGTTTTTTGTTGTTGTTGTTCTGCATGTAGAAAGAACTGTCAACCTCCCAGGCACAAAAGGAGAAGAAAAATATTCACTTTTTCCTTGAGAATACAAATTCCTTTGTTCTCCTTCAATACTTTCTGAAGAAACTTTACTTTCTGAAGAGACTTTAGTTTTCCTTAGCATGACCTAATTATAGATTTAAATATACATTAAATACTCTGCCAGATAATACTCTTGCGGCAGATAACCAAGAAACTCATAATAAAAAGGAAAGTGGTAGGATATAAGATGATTAATATGAAATAATACTTGAATTGTTTATAAGCATATTCCAAGCTTAGTCAGACAATTCAATTTTAGAAGACATATAACTCAGTCAGACTAAAATGGCAAAATGCAATAAAGAGAACAAAATTCAGACCAGATACATAGGTAAGATACAAAAAGAAGTAATCAAAAGTATTTCATTACCAATCTCAAAGCTCCCATTAATAAATCCAACTAGAGATGTCGGGATATTGAATTGTCTCTCTATTTGTGTGAGCATGGAATTCATGTAAGATCCAGATAATGTTTTGGATACATATGCACATGTTAATGCCAACAGAAACATCTAGGAAGAAAAAAAAAACAAGAAACACAAAAATTTTGTATTTAAATCATGTATTTGACATCTATTGACAAAATATCCTTTACTACAAGACTGACATTCTGCTCCAATTTAAGTAACTCTTAAACTTGCAGGAAACATTAAATACGTTCTATTCTTATGTCATGACAGTTTTTCTCCCTGGGACTCAAAGTAGGATTAATTGATTAGTGGAATTGAATTTTGTAGGTAGCTCCAGTTTTTTTGTTTTGTTTTTTTTGTACAGGGAATCTAACTTAGGACCTTGTGCTTGCAAGGCAGGCATGGTGCTGCTGAGCTAAATCCCTGGCCCTCCAGTGTTGTTATTTTACATGCATACATTTTTATACTCAAAAATGAGCAGTCATTTTAAGTCACACATGGCTGTTGATTCCACTAGATCTTCAGTACTAAAATACTATGTGCAGTGTAAATGAATGCATATACTTATTAAAAATAAAGAATGCAGAATTACTTAAAGACAGTGTTGCCATAGCAAATTTGCTCAAGTTCTCTGTGGAGGGGGCGAGGACTCCAGATGACCATGTCCAACCCACCTCTTCCTCTTCTTTCTCTTGGAATTCTTGGGGAAAATGTACTTCATGCCCAGTAATGGATCAAATGTCCAGAACAATCTAAACTATGGCACCACTCTTTCCAGAACCAAATGTGGCAAGTGGTGCTCTTGGTATCTAAGCCCAGAAGCACTTTGGGTTCCTGAGCTGTGGCCTAAAGCAAGGCCCATAAACAGATGAGGCTCCTTCTGGCCTGGGTGGCTTTTCTGAACTTTGAGAAAGAAACTCACCATGAATCCGAGGCTTCTGTTTATCCTCACTGCTTACCTGTGAGTAATAAATTTGCTTTGCCTGATGTATTGTTACATCCCTGTTCACTCTAATTTTCCTTTACAATAAAGTCCCTTCATCCATGCTCTTGAATACATTCTTTCAATTTCTGAAATCCTGGTACATCAATTATTGTTTCCTCTCTATTTCCAACCTCACATTTCTTACTCTTTTACTACCTCTTCCTTTCTAGCTTATTAATATATTCAAATTACTTCTGTCTTTTGAAAAAAATACCTTCCTTCTTTCCTGTTTGGAAGAATAGTCTATATTCATTTCATACATTATTTAATATTCCATTCATCCTTCAGTCTGCTACAGTGTGTTGTCTCCTGAAGTTACTAATGGTCATAAACACCTGCCTGATTTCCAACTCCAATAAATACTTCTACCTTATTAGCTCACTTCATGTCTCCAAGGCATTTGTTATTGTCTGTCTGTCTGTCTGTCATCTTTGTCTAATTATTTTTTATTAGTACATATTTGCAGTACATAATATTTACATTCCTTGTGGGGAGTTGGTGCATGTATATAAATTCCTTTTTTCACCCCTTTCCCTCTCCTCCTTCCTCTATCTCTTGATCTCCTTCTCATTTCTCTCTCTTTCTGCTGAAATCCTTCTTCCTACGCATACCTACACCTCTGCCTCCCTGTTAGATATATCTTACTCAGTCCTCTCCTCTTTGGCCAATTTCTTGAGGCTTTTACCATATATTGTACTCTGTCTTCCATGCATTCTCTGCTTAGGAAATCTCACTCCCATGTCCCTAACTGTTACTCCCATGCTGAAGTTGCTCAGATGGATACAGAGTAGTGTAAACAACTGAAATGTTTGGTCTCTTCTAATCTTATCTACTCCCTCTTCTCTTTACATGCCACCACCATTAAGTCACAGCTTATTTGTCAAATTAATAAAATGGTTAGCATGTGATTCCACTTTCAAAAACTTTTTAGTAATTGCCATTAAATCCCTGCTTTTCAGATGGCAAATGAAGGAAGGTTCATCTATATCTAAGTTTCATCTCCTGCTCTTTTCCCTAGACATAATGTTCTGCTTATAGTCTTTGTAATTCACTATGCTATTTTACATTTCAGTTGCTTTTTCACGATGTTCATCTACAGATAATACCTACTTTTCTGTTGGGCATCTTGTAAATTTTTCCTGAATTTTCAAGATTCAGTCATTTGTCACTTCTATCATGAAGCCTTCCTTCGTCTTTGCTACCAAAGTAACCTTAGCCATAGAGTCCTCATTTTTAGCATCTATCATGTGGCTACCTTTGTTATGGCACCTGTCTCAATGCATTTTATTCATATATATGGGTGTCAATAACTTCTTCCTTCATTATACTGTGAACAATTCAGAGATAAGAGCCATCCATTATTTACTTTCGTGCTTTTGATGCCTAGGAAGTGCCTGAAGACTAATAGTCACCTAATTATCGACAGAACAACTATCAGAAACATCTTGAAAAAGCAGTCAGTGCTGAAGATAGGATGAAATTTAATAGAACCAAATGTACTGTCTTAATTCATTTGGGCTGCTATAAGAAAATATAACTTGGGTGGCTTAAAAAAACAGACATTTATTTCTCACAGTTTCAGAGGTGAGGAAGTACAAGATCAAGTCACTAGCAGAGCTGGTGTCTTGTAAGGGTCTGCTTACTGATTCTTGGACAGCCAACTTTTCACTGTGTCCTTACACAGTGGAAGGGGCAAGAGGTCTCTCCCAGTCCCCTTATGGGGACACTGATCCCATTCAGGAGGCTTCACCTTTGTGACCTAATCACTTCAAAAGACCAATGACCTACAATAATCACTTTGTATTTCAACTTATGAATTTGAGGGATCCACAAACTGTAGCATATCCCAGAGCTTACAGACTATAACCTATAGCATACACCTGAGCCAAAAGTGCTCTGTACAAATTAGTTTGAGAAAATTTGAGTAGAAATTTGTATGAAAATGTCATGAGAGATTTGAACATCAAGCTTAATATAATTCACAACTATTATATGGTGGCAAGATAATCTTATGGTTTATAACTATATGCCCCCTCCCCAAAGCCTCAGGCACTCATAGGTGGGGCTTTTGGGAGGTGCTTGGATCATGAGGGCACAATACTCATCTGTAGATTAGTTCACAGCGGAGCTCATAGCTAAATGTGGTGCTGGAAGGTGGAGCCTGGTCAGAGGGGGCAGGTGACTGGGGGCAGGGCCTGAAGTGTATTCCGCGCCCGCCCCCCTTCAGGCTCTTTGCATCCCTGCTGCCATGCTGTGAAGAGCTCTCCTATGCTCTCCTCTGCCAAGGCCCTGCACCATGCTATCCTACCTTGAAGCCAGCTAACTATGCACTGAAATGTCTACAAACTGTAAGCCAAAATAAACATTTCCTCCTTTAAGTTGCATATGTCAGATATTTTGTCCCAATGACAAGGACACTGTCTAATACACTTTTAAAAATTCAAAGTAATCAAAAATAAAATTTAAGATATTGCTTATTAAAAATGCCTAACAAATTTTCCCCACAATTGTTATTAATAATAGCTAATAATTGAGTGTTTATAATATTCATTGTTCCAAGAAGTTAAACAAGTCCTATAGGGTAGAACTATTATTACTTTTTTTAGATGAGAAAAGTGAAACATGAAGAGGTTAAACAACTTGTAAAACATCATGCAACAAGCAAGCACGTGGGATCCAGAGAACCTGGGCTCAGGTTCATTTTCTATTCAATAAACTACAAAAGAAAGTGAGAATTCAGTGATTTTTTTCATAATTAATGTAGTTTAGGCAAAAGTAGTTTTCCAGATCTGTATTATAACTCCATTTTCCTGTACGTGTATAGACTTCCTCTCCATATGTATAAAGAGGAAATAAGCTTTTGATAGAAAATAGGTGACAGTGTCTCAGCTTGGAAATCTCTTGCAGGCATCAGCTGTAGACTGAGATAAATGCTTAAGGCCTTTGGTTGGAAATAAATTCAAATTTTGTGAATGTGAAATGCCTTTAGAGCTATGAAAAAGAATTGCTCTGAAATAATCAAAACTATCAGAACAGCCATCAAATGGGCATTTTCCTTGGAGAGTCTGATTTTTACATTGCCAAAGTTTGAAGTAAACATTTGTGTTACTGAGCCATTGTCAATTAATCTTTGCATACTAGCCAACCAAGCACTTCTGTCCAATGAATTGTTTTCTAGGACTGACCCCCATGTTTCTCTGTATCACAAACCTCTTAAGGGTGAGCATTATATTGGCTCCTGTTCCTAGCAAATAAATCTTCACACAATAGAATATGTGCCTAGAAATTTGAAATGCTTTCCTTATATAAGTCCTTCAAAATCATATCTGACTAAATTGCTCATATAATCAATAATCCTATTTATACACAACCTCAGTTATAAAATCAACTTCTTTAAAGCAAAAGATTATCAATAGATCAGGTAGTATGATATTAATATTAGGTCACTTTATGTAGCTAAAGCACTTTTGCAGGGACTGAGTTAAAAAATACTGTACAACACACACACACACACACACACACACACACACACACAAAGTCCATACCTTCACCTTGGAAAGACATCTTATGCTATGAGTTTCAATGCTTTTCTCAGTTTCTCCCATGTTGTTCTTCTGATTGTTTCAAGATATTGATGTTTTAAATCTTGATATGTCTTAGATCTACCTTTTTAAGGAAACAAAGATCTCACAAATCACTGACAAAATTACCAGTTGTCATTCTTTTGAAGAGAGTATCTCATCTGAACAACATAATTACAATATACTGCATTATAAAAATACCAATGAAGCTTTTAATTCAGGTATAGAAAATAATGTCAGAGAAGATTTAGTTGTTGAATTTCTGTTGAAAAGTTACTTTGAAGAACTATAGTTAATCATTAGTGAGCTCAAAGCTATCCCCATAATTTTCTTACAGTCCCCTTACAAAATAATGACTATGTGATTAAAACAAAGTTTTTCATTTCTTTAGCCAAAACTAACAGAATCAAAGTGAGCTCCTTGGCATTACATGAAAATCCTTGCTTTAAGAATACAAAGACTTTGGTTTGTGTTTGTGCTAAAAATCTGTTTTAGCATCCTACAAAGGCTCAAAAATCTCCATCTGGCTGTGCTTTCTCTTCAAGTTCTTTGCATTCCAAGACTTCCTTGGAGTCTCAGGAAAGGAAATGCTTTCTGGGGTACTGTTGATTTACAGAAACCCGAGAGACATGGAATTTTAATCATGGATTAGCCTAATTAAAAATAAATAATTTTATGATCTGGAGAATTCTGCAATTACAATATGTGAAATGTAAGGTTTGGAAGAAGACCAAACATATACATGGAGGGATATGTGTGTTTGTGAATATATACAGGTACACACAAATGCACATATATATATATACACACACATATATATATATACATATATATACATATGTATACACACACACATACCGAATATATATGTAAAAAGTATAGATACATGTGTATCTAAATGTACATACAATATGTAGGCACAATTTTTATGTGGAATACAGAAATGTGACTTAAACTATTAAATTGTTCTAATTTATCAAAGATTTTATCTATTTTGTATATTGAAAGTAGGACCATATTTAACACTAAAACAAAATATCTTATTTTGATCAATCTATTTCAAGTTATCAGTATTACACCATATCTTAACAGTATCCCCGCATTACCTTATTAAAATCCTCTGAACACTGACCATTTATTAAGTGATCCTGAATGGAACTGTTTTAAAAAGCTAAACTTGAAATTTGTTAAATTTCAAATACATGCATTAAGGCAAACACCACTGTACAGTTATGTCTGAGCTTAGTTCTCTTTACTCATTCTCTCACAAATTAAAGATATGTGTGTTCAACATCTACTACATATGTGCTAATCATTGTGCTACACATGGGAATTCAGTAGTGAATAACAGCATCCCTGTAGAGAATGTAAATTACTTAGAGAAACGTAAGTCTCTGGGGAAGGTACCTGGATGTAGATCATTAGGAACTTCTACATTTATTGGGAAAGATAAAACTTTTAAATAAAACACATTGGAATAGAATCAGAGAACATATGATCAAATGCAAGGTTTTTGGTGGGAGTGGTAAAAAAAAAATCATAGGTTATGAATAGAAGTTATAGAAATATTGTTGTCAATTCTGAATGGTCATAGAAATGAAACCATGGCCAAATCCCCCCTGTAAAAGAACAAATGACCTTAACTGTAATGCAAAGACTTGACAATTGTTTTGTAAAACTAATAGAATCAAATGATTTTTCATTTGAGTAGGAATTGATACATTATTAATATATATTAATATATTATAGAAACTATGGTTGCATTATAAACCTCTCAACTTAGCTTGTTCATGTATTCTTAGGCATTTAGAAAATAATCTCTCTGCCCTGGGTTTTATCCATCTATCTTTCTTGACAATATCTGACCTCAATATAGTCACCTTAACAAATATAAGGAAGAGAATTTATCCTTCCTTGTCAAACTTGTTTTCAATATTTTTTTCTTTTGGCTTTTTGAGACAGGGCCTTGCTATGTAGTTCAGGCTGGCCTCAAACTCACAACAATCCTGCCTAAGCCTCCCGATGTTTTCACCCTTTGAAACAGCTAAAAACATAATTGTTCTAGATTATTTTTCATATTGTAGTCATGGAGCATTAAAGCTAGAATCAGTGCCGAAGAGATAGCAACATAGGGAATTCTGTAGTTCCTTCTATTATAGATAGATGAGCTAGGTAAAAATATTAGAGGCAGTCAGATAGGTCTAAGTCCTTGACAGGGCCAGGACAAAGGGAAAAGAAACCACAGCTCCACATCAGAGAAAAACCAGGCCTCAAGATGGAGA